CTGACTTGGTAAACTATCCTCTGACCTACGCGCGCGCACACACACACACACACACACACACACAAAGAGAGACAGAGACAGAGACAGAGAAGCAACCACAAACACATATAGTAAATCAATTAATTAACTAATTAATTAGAAACACAAATGTATGAAGAATAAAAAAAAACTTTGCCCATGAGAAAGGAGAGAAAAATCTTCAGACATACTACTATGTAAAGATATCTAATATTAACTCTCTTTTTTAAGATTTATTTTTTTTTATTATGCACACAGTGTTCTGCCTGCATGTATGTCTGCAGGCCAGAAGAGGGCACCGGATCTCATTCAAGGAGGTTGTGAGCCACCATGTGGTTGCTGGGAATTGAACTCAGGACCTCTAGAAGAACAGTCAGTGCTCTTAACCCCTGAGCCATCTCTCCAGCCCCTAATATTAACTCTTTATTTTCTGTTTTAATGTGTGAGCATGAATTTGTTTTGATAAGCTTGTCTTTAAAGTTTATATAAATAAAATATGTGGGGCTTCTTCTATATCATGATTTCCTGGGCATTCATATGCATTGATGTCATAGTTTATATTCCTTCATTATGTGTAAGTCATGTTGGTTTAACTTTCCACCTGCTGTTGGATATTTGGAGTGTTTTTATTTTTATTGTAAATGATAGGCACACTTACATCTTTATCCTCTAATTCAGCGGCCTTCTTAGGATAAATTCCTTGAAGAATAATTGCAGAATTGAAGTGCTTTATCATCCCTTTTCTTTTATGTTCTTTGTATGCACTGCCCCTGGGAAAGGATTACCTACCTTTCCAGCAGGACACTTTAGAAGAGTGCCTTTCAATGCTCCCTCCAAATCCAAGGTGTCTTTGTAAAACAATTTTCACTGTATGAATGAAATAAACATGATCACAATCTTCTCTTACATTTTATTTCTACAGAAGCTAAGAAGTTGACCTGAGTTGATACTAAAAAGTAGAGATGTATGTTTGTTCCCTTAATCTCCATTTACTTGTAGATCCCTCTGGATTCTTCATCCATTCTTTTCCCTTAAGTTGTTAAGACCTCTTTTTCTGAATGAGATCTCACTATGTAGCCCAGGGTGACCTTGTAAGAAGAAAGCTACACACCCAGAGACAGATATTGGGGTTCAAGATAAAGATCAGAAAAGAAAAGCAGCCAAAGATTAGGTTTTGTTTTGTTTTTTTTGACACAGGGTTTCTCTGTGGCTTTGGGGCCCATCCTGGAACTCGCTCTGTAGACCTGGTTGGTCTCGAACTCACAGACATCTGCCTGCCTCTGCCTCCTGAGTGCTGGGATTAAAGGTGTGGATCGATCTCATGTAGCTCAGTGTGGCCTTAAACTAACAGAGATCCATCTGCTTGTCTCTTGAGTCCCGGGATTTAAGGTGTGTGCCACCACCGCCTGTCTCTATGGCTAGCTAGTATGACTGCTGGGATTAAAGATGTGTATCACCATTGCCTGGTTCTATGACTTGTGGATAGCTTTGCTTTCTGAACCCTCAGGCAACTTTAATAAATCACAAATAATATATCACCACATGACCTCAAACTCATGCTGCTGCTGCCTCAGTCTCCTCAGTGGTGGAGTTACATGCCTGTCTTAGGATATCCTACTTTATAAAGTAAATTGTAACTTATAAAGTAAATCATTTTATTTTTAATTGTGTATGTGTATGTGCTTCACACAGATACATGTGTGAGAGTGTCATGTCCACAGAGGTCCCTGGAGCTGGGAGTTTTAGGTGGTTGTGAGCTACCTACTATTGGTGTTAGGATTGAACTCAGGTCCTCAGGAAAACAATATATACTTTTCTCAACTACTAAGACATTTCTCCAGTCCCTGGATATCCTGATTTTTTTTAAATTATTATTTTGTGTGTATGGGTATTTTGCCTGCATGTGTGTCCGTACACCTTGTGGATGTCTCTTGCCTTATGGGCCAGAAAAGGCATCAGACTCCCCTGGAACTGAAGTTACAGACAGTTGTGAGCCACCATGTGGATTCTGGGAACTGAACCCACCTGGAAAAGCAGCCAGTTTTAAACTGTTGAGCCATCTTTCTAGGCCTAATATCTCTATTCTTGATTCCCATTTTTTCCCTCTCCCATGCATGCACATATGCAGGCTTCTTAACACATTCAACGACTATCCTTTTGTTTCTATGAGTTATAAAATATGTATTGTTTTAAACCTGCATTTTAATTTACATAAGTCAAATTATCATCAATAATAAATTTAATTATACTTTTTCACTTCACATAAATTCTATGCAACATATCTGTTGTTTTTTGTCTATTTGTTTAAATAATAAAAATCTACCAGTTATGCTTCAAAGAATTTTTAGAATATAGAAAGACAAAGTCAACCAGAATTGGAGATGATAAGTGTTAGGGTATCGTCACCTCAGTAAGTTTGGGTGCTATTAAACTAACATCTCTAGAGCCAGCCTGGTCTACGGAGTGAGTTCCAGGACAACCTCCAAAGCCACAGAGAAACCCTGTCTCGAAAAACCGAAAAACAAACAAACAAACAACTAGCATCTCTAACAATCAATTCAAAGAAGACTTGAGGAAATGAGAAACACAGAACTGAGTCCCAAGATGAAAAATGTATGGTCTGTACATCTCTGCTGGAATTTAAGAACATGTCTCAGTTACTTCTCCTACTGCTCTGACAAATTTTTCTGATCAATCAAGCACATTATGGGAGAAACAGTTTATTCGAAGTTTGAGACTACAGTCAATTATGGTGGGGAAAGGCACAGCAGTAGGAGCTTGAAGCAGTTAGATAAATTGCATCCACAGTTATGAAGCAGAGAGCAATACTTGGTTGCCTATCCGAACCAGATGACAAGACCCTATTGCTAAAGACACTACACACTTGGTTGCAGGATATAGATAGGCAAGTAAGTCTAGAACTGACCAGGAAACTTTCATGATGGTTAGGTTTCTCAGCACCAGGTGGTGCTATGCAGCCTACCGGAGAAAAACTAACCCGTGGTCGTACCCAGCGCGGGACCCTGCTTTCTACAATACTGAATTGCCAAGTGAAATGTGCCCACAGTGCAGTGCTGGCATGGCAGTTGTAGGGGTAACCACCTGAATTCTGATTGGGTTTGAGGCCTGCTCTCGGGAAGAGAATTCATTCCTGTCCTCTAAATTTGATCCGAATCCCATACCTGGGAAGGATAAGGTTCTAAAGGAGAGCCTACTAGTATTGTTTTGTTGTATCACTAACTGCTGTCAAGAACGGAGAAGTACCAATATGGTGCCTGCCTATAAGCTGGAATGCCAGCTGCTGCCAACGCCCGAGGAATCCTGGCCTCCAAGGCCTACACAAGAGCTGCAACATGTGTCCTGCTACCCGAGGCATCCGCTGAAGTGTAGCCCTAGAAGCCACCTCTTGCTGCAGCTCCACAGATAGTAACTGTCAGAGAAAGAGGAACAGAAGGGCTAAGATGCACTTAAAGAGTTCGCCTTTGCCTGCCCAAGGTGGATTCTATCCAGACAGAACTAAAGGGACCCAGTATGGCTAAACTCTCACCTTCTGCATATGCATGCACACACAAGCCTGCACATACCTGCACACACACCCCTCCACACACACACACCCTCAGAGATTTACCACAATATTCCAAGGAAAAGGTAAAATTAGCCAGATCTTGGAATTTCCTATAACTGTATACCCACATTCATTGCTCCATTCAAAAAGTCCAGTGACTTAAAGGTAAGTTATTTGTGCAAAGAAAAAAATGGAGTAGCTACCCAACAAAGACCAGCTTCCGCGGGGGTGTAGGAGTGAACCCCTGGACTGTTGGGTGGATAGCTTTGTGGGGTTCACTCCTACACGGGGGGGGGGGCTGCAGACAAAGTTGTGTATCTAGGGACTTCTGAGAGCGTATATGGGAAGGGCACCCTGGTAGTTACTAATCTTCAGTGGTTTGTTTTACCGGTGCACAAGCTGCTGCTACGTATTTGTATATTAATGGATGTTTGGGTTCTGTAATGTAACCCAACAGAAAATCTCAGGAATAGTTCATTCATCCCTTGTTAGGATATTGAAGTCCTCTGTTGTGCCAGAGAGCATGAAGGATTGCAAATGGTACCTTTACCTCAAGGGCAAGAGAGAACAACTTTCTCCAAAGGATAGAGGTGGGAAAGATTCTTATACCACACTTAGATGGTTTCGGTCAGAGGTGTCTGCTACGGCAAAGACAGTGGGTGACTAAATTACGCACGGTCCGACTGTGTGACTTCTAAAATTAGTATGTTTTAAAAGTAAATTAAGAGGAAGTGAGACTAGAGGGGTTTTCTTTCCTTGATAACGTTAGGAAACGTGGCCCAGGACAGCCACCAAAATGCAAGATATCTTTAATGTTTGTGAACCATAGGCCCACTTTTTGTTTAGTGATAAAAATAACATTTTTTCAACTTGTGTCAGAGATGAAACCAGACAGATAGTGGATAAAGTTGGTAATAGCAGATAATAATCATACTGTTGCAACACGAAAGCCTTGTAGTAAACTCAACTTAATTTGCACAGGGGTGAGGACGTTTCGGAGAGACGAAAGATCCTGGGATTGGCCTGGGACTAAGCGACTAATTCCAGATGAGTCCTTTCAGGTTTAAACCAGACCCCAAATTGGACGGTCCTTTAAATCGCTGGTACGTGGCTTGGATGGCGTGCTCAAGCGAGAACTACAACTCCCAGCAGAACGGGCGAGAAAAAGAACGCAACTTCCGGGGCGCCGCTTTCTCCCTCCTCCATCCCCTACTTCCCCCAAAGGACAAGCGATCCCTACTATGTCCAGCTTCACAGTGTTCAAGCTGGCATTGGCCATTGGAGGCGAGTCCCCCACTCCGCGAGGAAGGGCTCAAAACCCGTATGAGAGGAAGGCAAGGCGGGGTCACCACAAAGAGAGGGAGGCGGACTCTGCGGTTCGAGACGCGCGTGACGTCATGTCCGCTGGGCGGGGCCTCGCGATCCCGCGCAAATTGAAAGGTCCCCGGCTGCGCTTGCAGCCACGGCGGCTTGCTGGTGTTCTGCGCCCCGGTGAGTGATCCCCTACGCCGGCGACGGGCGGTGTCAAGAGGAGCGGGCTGTGTGGAGGAAAGTGAGGTCCCCTCGGCTCCGATCCACGCGTCCTCTCTCCCTCGGCGCGGGATCCGGGTCTCCGGGAAGAGAACGCAAGCGTGGAGCGTGCGTTGGGCGCCCGTAGGCAACCAATTTGACCTCTACGTCTCTGGTTTTCCCAGTGTCCACACGTGCACTCGTCTCTAGCGGCGAGTTTCCTTTGTATATTTCCTTTCAGATGCAGGTTTGAGGAGCCGCAGCGCCTGGGATGGGCTTGCGGGCCATGCCTGTTCATTCCTTGGAGACAGGACTACGGTGAAGCCGCCGCTGCTGTTACCTCGGGTGCCACGGGCGATCTCCTGGGGTAGGTGTGCCATATGGCGCTCAGTCACTCCTGTGCTAAAGAGGAAATCTTTACTCGAGATTTACTTAGCCTAGAAGAAATTTACCGAAGTTTCGTAAAATGTAATTATGCCCTTTTGTTCCTCAGCATGCACGAACACACAATTTTAGAGACATTGTCTCTAAAGGTAGTGGACTCTTTGTTTTCCACAAATCGTGGCCGGAGGCCCACCTGCATCCAAATTGCCTGATGTTTAAAATTCAGAAGTCGTGTCTCTCCAGGGAATTATAGTTACTGGGCGTGGCCTTAAAGGTCTAAGAGCCTCAGAGTTTCAGGACAAGAGCCTTGCTGTTTTCCTGTGGTGTCAACAGGGCACCGCTGTCTTCTTACCCTGTAGTAAAAACACGATCTTAGGCCTGGAGAGCCAAGTGCCTGTCCGCTTAATCTGAATGGAGAATCTCAGGAAGCTCAGCTAGAGGCCCTGCTCCGCGGGCATATGCAGCTCAAGCAATCAAAAGTCTGTCTCAAACTGGTCTCTCTATATGCTCCCTTTTAAGAACACTTGCTCTTGTAAACATGAGGACCTGAGTAGAGTCCCCAGCCCCCCTATAAAAACCCCATGTGTCTGTGAATGCTAGTAACCCCAGCATTGGGAAGCAGAGATGGTGGATCCAAAGAACTCCTGGGGCATTAGCTGGTGCAGTAATACACCTTGCATCAGGGTAATAGGCAGAGCAATAGAGGAAGATACCCAATACCTTGCTCTGGCCTCTGTGTGCACAACACCGACAAATAAAAACATGATCTTTGATAGAAATACTTGTACTGGGAAATACCAAGCAACTGCTGGGATTGGAGTGGGGAAGATTGGTTGCTTTGAAAGGGCTGGCAGCTCCAGGATTTCCATCTAAGGGGCTAGAAGGGAGTGGAAATTAAAAGTGTTTTCCTTGAAGCTGTTTTTGCACAGCAAACATGTTTTCTTGTTGCTTGAGTGCAGCCTTCAGTGAGTATGATGAAACTGTCCCTAGACTCCACCATGGCTTACTACTTCTTATTATGTATTATTATTGTTTGGAGTAATACATTCTGATGGTGTTGAATTGGTGTCATATAAAAGTGCATTCCCATAATTCTGATTACTTTTCACTTGAAATGTCTGTCTTTCTCCTAACTTGAGTTTCTACACTGCAGCTTTGGATATAGCCCTTTAATGCCTTTTTGGAAGGATGGATATAATGTCATAGCATGCACATTTTTGTAGGCTTTCAACAATATCTTTTTGAAAGAGACTTAAAGTTGTAATGCCTTCTGTGTGCCTAGAACTGTGTTAAGAGATGAGAACCCATTTTGGGATTCTAAGTATGAAAGAGAGTGTTTTGGAAAAAAATAACCACCAAGAAACTCCTCAGTGGTGTTCAGGTTAGTGTTGGTGAGTAATGAATTCTGAGCTACAGAAGTTGGCAGGGACAAGGCTAGAGATCAGTTATTAGTTTCTGTGCTAGGCCCAGGCTGGGTTTATTTTTGTAAAACTTCTTGGTAAATAGGTTTTGCTATACGTTGCTGTCTTCCCCTTCCCTTCCTTTCATGTAGTTGACTTGGCACGATGGGGATTCAGGGACTGCTTCAGTTCATCAAGGAAGCTTCGGAACCCGTCAATGTGAAGAAGTACAAAGGCCAGGCTGTCGCTGTGGATACCTACTGCTGGCTTCACAAAGGAGCTATCTCTTGTGCTGAAAAGCTCGCTAAAGGGGAGCCTACTGATAAGTAAGTCTGGAGTGTCTCTTAGTTTAGGAAGCAGAATGTTTTGGTGCTTTTTGTTTTTTGAGACTTCAGGTATTTCACACTGGTCTGGAACTTGTTACAATAGCCAAGGATGGCCTTGGACTTCTGCTCCTGCTTCCTGGAGGAGGAATCCTACCATGTGCTGGGATTACAGGCTTGTGCCACCAACACCCAGTGTCTTACAGTGCAAGGGACGGAGCGCAGGGCTTCAGGCACGTAAGCAAGCACTCTATGAATGGAGCTACTTCCCAGCATCTCAGTGCTTTTTTTTGTTTGTTTGTTTTTGTTTTTCCGGTTATTGTTTGAATAAATCTTAGCATTTATTAAGGACTTGTGTTTAAAATATTGCCAGGCTTCTTCTGTGGTACAGACCTGACTCTTGTTCTTGGTAAGAAGTCAGAGTAGCTTGATATGGACAGTCAAAGATCAATCATTATCTTCATTATTCTTTGCTTAAGAGAAGCCTTTGTTTTTCCCCTTAGATAACTTTTTAACAATGTTTTTAGAATCCATAATGTTTTTCCACAACATACTGCTAATCTCCGTTAGCAAAATGAGGCAAAGGGACAGTATGCTCTGGCCAAAAATGGTGACTCCTGTTGTCATTCAGTCAGAACTCTGTGACCTCACTTTGGGCAGGTTCACATAATTCGTATATAAAACTATGCTTTTTTAACCCCCCCTTTTTGCACATATTGTTTATAATTGCTTTTAATTTCTAATAATAAAGCTGTACCCTTTAAGCTTTTCAAAAAGAACAGCCTGCACTTTTTTATTACTACTTTCTGTGTTCGATTTCGGGTTTTTTTTTTTTTGGTTTTTTTTTTTTTTACTACTTTCTGTGTTCGATTTCTGGTTTTTTTTGAGGGGGGGGGTCTTTTTGTATCCCAGGTGGGCCTTCACCTTACCTCCCTTTAATGCCAGCACTGGGGAAGCAGAGTTTGAGGTCAGCCTGGTCTACAGAGTGAGTTCCAAGACAACCTCCAAAACAATAGAGAAACCGTCTTGAAAAACCAAAAAAAAAAAAAAAACCTTACCTTATAGCCCAGGATGACTCTGAATTCCTTCCTTCTCACTTCAGCTTCCCGGGTGCTGGGCTTGTAGGACTGTACTGCTGTACCTGGTGTCTCAGTCACTTTTCTATTGCTGTAATAAAACATCACGACCAAGGCAACTTATTTCAGGGGGTTAGAGTCCATGACCATCATGGCAAGGAGCATGGCCGTAGGCAGGGAGGCATGGTGCTGGAGCTGAGAGCTTAAATTTTGAACCACAAGCATGAGACAGAGAGAGCTAACAGAATGGCATGGTGTGGGCTTTTAAGTCCTAAGCCTGCTCCACTCCCAGTGATACACCTTATAACACAGCCATACCTCCCAATCCTTCCCAACTAGTTCTGCCAGCTGGGGACCAAGTATTCAAATTCGTGACCTGTGGGGGCCATGGCCATTCAGGCAGCCTCAGCTGGCTTTCTTTGAATTGTTCCTTAGCCAAGAAAACTTAGTTTCTAGCTTTGGATATCTTTTCTTAAATGTATATTGGTGTTTTGTCTTCCTGTATGTTTGTGTGCCACGTGTGTGTCTGCGCCTGAGGAGACCAGAAGAGGGCATTGGATCCTTTGAAGCTAGAGTCACAGGCAGTTGTGGATGCTGGGAACCGAACCTAGATCCTGGAGGGACAGTCGGTGGCAGAGCCACCAGCACTTTTGATTACTGAGTCCTCTCTCCAGCCTTTGATTCAAATTTTTGATTTTTTGATTAATTGGAAGGATTTTTTTGTTTGTTTGTTTTTCGAGACAGGGTTTGTCTGTATTGTTTTGGAGGCTGTCCTGGAACTCGATCTGTAGAACAGTCTGGCCTCAAACTCAGAGATCCTCCTGCCTCTGCCTCCCGAGTGCTGGGATTAAAGGCATGTGCCACCAATGCCCTGCCAATTGGAAAGATTTTTAAAATACAGGCAATATCCTTTTTTTATCAGAAAAGTAAGAGATGGAATCCGCAAGGCCCATTCTATGATACTCATTAAATACTGATGAAACTAAAATGTTTAATGTCTGCTATGGGCTTAAAATTTCCCCTGACAACTAAGAAAGCCATATTTGGTATAATTAATTGTTTTGCTTTTTCTTCCTACCACGGATAGCAGTATTAGCCAGAAATGGTCACAGCTTTGGAATTTGGGCTTAAGCTAATTATAAATACTTACAGTCACTGTACATTTTGAGGCCAGCATGTGCTGACTTGGAAGTAAACGAGTGGGTGCTACCTGACTAACTGATGCTTTGTGCTTTCGAGTTAGACAAGTAACTTGGCTTTAAAACATTTGTTTGCTTTCGTCTGCTCTTCCATGATCAGTCGTGCTGTAGCCTCTGTTGTCCCCTGTGCAGTGCCCTTGTCACTGTCCACAGCAGAGAATACAACAAGTGGTCAGAGAAGTAACTGTATTTGATTCAAAAGCTTAGCTCAAGTGCCACTGGGTCCTGGATATGGGAACAGTAATAACTCGGTTTGCTGGGGCCTTTCCTCAGAAGCTCGTGGTCCAGCATCTCTGTCCCCTCAGCATTCTGGCTGTGAGTTGGCGGAGCTTATGTGTTACTGTGAAACTCAGACACCCCAAGCATCATGCTGTTCAACGTTAACCGGGATATCACTGGTCCTGAAAGACGTTATTGGCACTACTGGATGAAATTTCATGCATGATGCATTGTAGATAATACTGTCAAGTGTCTTGAGTATGACAAGGCATTGTGGGAGAAATCAAGTGTTCTTAAAACTTTTCAATAGACTTGAGATGTTTCAAGTCAGTTTTATTAATGTAAGAATAAAAAGTACTTGGAGCAAGGATAAAATATGAAACTCAAAAGATGTCAAAGCTTTTTAATCTACAATAGAGAAAATCCTAAAGCAACGATTTTCAACCTTCCTAATGCTGCAGCCTTTTAATACAGTTCTCCATGCTGTGCTGATCCCCAACCATAAGATTATTTTCATTGCTACTCCATAACTGTAATTTTGCTACCGTTATGAATCATAATATAAACATCTGATATTTCCCATGGTCTTAGGTGATCCCTATGAAAGGGTCATTCACTCCCCCAGTGGAGTCATGACCCATAGGTTGAGAGCCACAGGCCTAGAGAGTCAAATAACTTCCTAATTACCACATACCCCATAAGTACTTGCAGCGAGATTTAAACTAACTCTGTTTCCTTTGGAAACTTTAACATCAGAAGACAAATCCTTTGCAATTCTGTCATCTGGTCTTAAATAAAGCACAAATTTAAGAGATTCATAGCATGTAAGTGCATTTTCCATTTTCTTTTTCCTTCCTGTAGGTATGTAGGATTTTGTATGAAGTTTGTTAATATGCTGCTGAACCATGGGGTCAAGCCTATTCTTGTCTTTGATGGATGTACCTTACCTTCTAAAAAGGAAGTGGAGAGATCTCGAAGAGAGTAAGTTGACTCCATACTTGACACTCTGGCTTAACTGTGCTAAGGCCAGATGCTCAGGACACAGGATACCAATTTCTAAAATCTTGATATCTGTACATTCCCTAAGATTCCCTTAGATGGTCTGTTTGTGTTAGATTGTTGTCACATTTAGAAATAATTACCTTTAAAATGACAGGTTGCTGTGGAAAAGTCAGTCACGTTGTATACATTATTAATCACTTCCTCAGTTGGAGTGGTGATGCTGCTGAAATCCCAGCACATGGGATGTAGTGGCAGAAGGGTCCTGAGTGCGAGTTCATCTGCTACTTCATGAGTGTGGGGCTAGCCTGAGCTTCATGAGACCCAGTCTCAAAAAATCTGATTTAGTTTTGTCTGGGCTGATACACCAGCGGATCTGATGTGCAGTTGTGCAGTTTTAAATGCCCAACTCTTTCATTCTAGCAAAATTGCTTTAAGTGCAGTTTGACTATTATTTCTGAAGTCTGCTGCTGTGTTTCTAATTTAGTCATGTTTTTCCCTTTCAGGAGACGACAAAGCAACCTTCTTAAAGGGAAGCAGCTTCTTCGAGAGGGCAAAGTGTCAGAAGCCCGAGAATGCTTCACTCGCTGTGTCAACATTACCCATGCCATGGCCCACAAAGTAATAAAGGTGAGTTAGTGAGAAAGAGCAGAGCCGCTGGACAGATGCTCTGCATCCGTTGGACTGTTGTGTACAGAGATGCTAGGGACAGATTCCCCAGGGGCTTGTTTCTTACCCACTGTGGCTGAATCTGTGTTTAATCATCAGCTCATTCTTTTTGTAGTGATGGCCTGAGATGTCTCACTGACTCGCTGATTGAGGGGCTTCTCAGAACTCCTGCACATACCACAGACTGAATGAGCAGTCAGGACAACCCTGACTGTCAGTCCTCCCTTTCTGCCCGCACTCGAGGCTAGGTCTCTGCTGTGTATCACTGTGTATGCAGCCTGCCAGCCCTTTTCTCGCCTCCCGTTTTGCTGTATAGTGGTGCTGGAATTACATATAGGCTCCATTGGGCTCATCTTTTTGTGAGTTCTAGGGTCAAAACCAAGAATTGTGTGGCCAGTGAGCTGTCACCCAAGCCTATAAAGCATAGCAGTGTGAAAACTATCTTAGAGCTGAAAGTAGAAAGATGTGCTTCAAAGGACGTGGGTTTTGGAAAGTGTTAGAGGTGTGTGTGTGTGTGTGTGTGTGTGTGTGTGTGTGTGTGTGTGTGTGTGTGTAGGCTGGTGGCGCCGGAGTGTTAGAGGTGTGTGTGTGTGTGTGTGTGTGTGTGTAGGCTGGTGGCGCCGGAGTGTTAGAGGTGTGTGTGTGTGTGTGTGTGTGTGTGTGTGTGTGTGTGTGTGTGTGTGTAGGCTGGTGGCGCCGGAGTGTTAGAGGTGTGCGTGTGTGTGTGTGTGTGTGTGTGTGTGTGTGTGTGTGTGTGTGTGTGTGTGTGTAGGCTGGTGGCGCCGGAGTGTTAGAGGTGTGCGTGTGTGTGTGTGTGTGTGTGTGTGTGTGTGTGTGTGTGTGTGTGTGTGTGTGTGTGTGTGTGTGTGTGTGTGTGTGTGTGTGTGTGTGTAGGCTGGTGGTGCCGGGCCATTCTGATTTCACACCACGCTGTTCTGATGCCTCGCCGACAGGCTGCCCGGGCCCTGGGAGTGGACTGCCTGGTGGCTCCGTATGAAGCAGATGCTCAGTTGGCCTATCTTAACAAAGCTGGGATTGTGCAAGCTGTCATCACGGAAGACTCTGACCTCCTCGCCTTCGGCTGTAAGAAGGTACTGAACTGCAGCTGCTACACACCAAGCCATGAGGGAGAGTTGTGTGTGTGTCGAGGAGGCCAAGACTTCCTCACCTGAAGTACCTGTTTATGTCGCTTAATATCTGTGTACTGCTTTAGCATTTGGGCTTGGTTTGCTTTTTGGGGTTCTGGTAATAAACCCAGGGCTTTACATATGCTAGGCAAGTGTCTGTCGCTAAGCTACCCCCCAATATCCCAACCAGTGAGTACCTCAGTGTTTAGCTTGTCTTTTGTTTGACTCTGTGTGTGTGTGTGTGTGTCTGTCTGTCTGTCTGTCTGTCTGTCTGGGTATGGAGTTGAACCTCTGACCGCTAGGTGAGCATTCTTCCCACTGAGCCACAGCCCACTTCGCTCTGTACTCTGGCTGAGTCTCCCTAAGTTGCCCAGCCTGGGCTCAGACTCAACTCTATAGCCTGGGCAGGCCTTGAACTCTGGGTTCTCCTCGCTCCCCAGCCTGTATTACTAGGCCTGGCTAGTTTTACTTTCTAATGCTAATAACACATGCCTTACATTTTTAAAATTAGATTTGGTAGACTAACTTATATTATTTAGTTATTTAGAAATAATGTATAAACTGCCGGCGGTGGTGGCACACACCTTTAATCCCAGCACTCGAGAGGCAGAGGCAAGTGGATCTCTGTGAGTTTGAGACCAGCCTGGTCTACAAGAGCTAATTCTAGAACAGCCTCCAAAGCCACAGAGAACCCCTGTCTCAAAAAACCAAAAAAAAAAAAAAAAAGAAAGAAAGAAAGAAAAGAAAGAAAGAAATAATGTATAAACCAATTTAATGATCAATTTTATAATGATCTATTAAAGGGGGAATTAAGATATAAAACCATAGGTGGTTACCCAACTATAATATGTATATGCATCTTCATAGATTGCTAGGAGGATGCTCATTAGATGTTATCACTGGGTGATTGATAAGTGGGGCATGGACAATTTTTTTTTTTAATTTCCTGCAATGAGCATATATTACCCTAATAACAATAATAGGAAACTGGCCGCTTTCATGTAAAGGAAGAAACTTGTGTTTTGGAGCAAGAGTGATTCCTTAGAATTGTTGTGATTTAGACAACGATGATAGGATGGACCGTTTCCCTCTGTGTGAAGGTGATTTTAAAAATGGACCAGTTTGGGAATGGACTGGAAGTGGATCAGGCACGGCTGGGCATGTGCAAGCAGCTTGGGGACGTGTTCACGGAGGAGAAGTTCCGGTACATGTGCATTCTGTCGGGCTGTGACTACCTCTCCTCCCTGCGTGGGATCGGCCTAGCCAAGGCCTGCAAAGTCCTGAAGCTGGCCAATAACCCGGATATCGTCAAGGTAGGAGGGACCGGCACTTCATGAAGGAGCAGAGGGAGTTCAGAATGGGTTTTCAATGGCAATCTCTAGCCTGTGAGTGTCACTAAAGGGAAAATGTGACTAAGGATGAGAACTCTTTAACTTCTGGGTCCTAGTACTTGAGACTCGTTCTCAGGCCTTCTGGTCTAAGGATATTTATACTCTGAAAGGTTTTGTGTGGTCATAAATTTTGTTTAGGTGGATTATAGCTCTCAATAGACTGTATTAGCAATTAAACAAAATTTGAATATTAATTCATTAAACAAAAAGCTTTTATGTTAGCAGAAATCACAGAGGCTCTTACCCCCTCCTGCACCATCTCAGTCCACCCCCCACATTAAAATTGTTTTGAGACAAGGCTTTTTGAATACCAGGCTGCCCTTGAACTTGCTGTGTAGCTAAGGATAGCCTTGAACTCTTCAGTTCTAGATTTACTGTTTGCTTTTGTTTTTTTTGGATGTAGACCAATCATGAATTTGTAAACATATGAGAGGAATTGGAATAGCAACTCCTTGATTAGAAAAAGCACAACCATACCAATAAGGACACCCTTTAGCCCTGCTAGTATGTTCCCAAATCCTACCCATGGTCTTATGAGGAGGAGTGTCAGGAGGTGGTGACTCCTAAGTTCACATGGGTGTTACAAAAGGTGAGCCAATAGAATTAAACTTAAGATCACAGCTGTCTCATCCAGGTACACGAGGAGAATCAGCAAGTAAATATCTAGACATAAGATACATACATCCTGGAGGCTCATTTCTTGTTTGGGTAGTAAAACACATAGGAGGTCTCTCGGTATGTCCAAAAGAAACATTAACACTAGTTTTATGTAGACTGTAAGAATGTTCTCCCCCCATCAGTGTTATGAGTTACTACTTTTATGTTAGCAAAAGTTACGTGAAAAAGTATGTCCAATAGGAACCACCATAGGGGAATGGTCAAGTATCTATTTCTTGAGTCTTATTAGTATCTAAATCTTGTCTAAAAACATTCCAATAAGAAAAAGTTTCAGTTGGTATATTTTCTGGCCCATTTTACCTGTCCCAGGCTTGAATAGCCTTTCCTACTCTATCCCAGATTTCTAAATCTAAAGTTCTCTTATCTGGGAACCAAGGACTACATCGCTGTACAAACTGTTAAGTGAACAATCAGTTTTGAATTATTAACTTTAATTCCCTATTTAAAAAGTATACTGCATTATGTCTAAAGAGTCTTCTTTCTTACAAAAATGTTCAGTTCTTTCTTTTCACCTCTCTTTTGCCTGGTCTATGTCTTACCCAGGGGACTCTCGAAACCCTTAGGTGAAGTCCTGTCCTTACTGACAAAGGGGACTTAGCTCTGCGGGGTCCCTGTTCTGGGTGCCAATTGCTTAAAGGACTTTAAAAAGTATTTCTAGCCGAGCATTGGTGGCGCACACCTTTAATCCCAGCACTCAGGAGGCAGAGGCAGGCGTATCTCTGAGTTTAAGACCAGCCTGGTCTACAGAGAGAGTGCCAAGACAGGCTCCAAAGCTACATAGAGAAACCCTGTCTCAAAAAACCAAAAAAGTATTTCTAGAAATGTACACTTGACATAAGCCCAATATTGTGCATTTTGGGTGAACAGTGTAAACCTGGTCATGAGGGCCAGAGTTTTGGGTGATGTGGCGTGGCTGTTTTCTGGTAGACGTCCTTCTGGTGTAGTTTAAGGCAGTTGACTCTTGCCTCCCAGTCTCCTTGTCAGGTGTGGATCAACACACTCCCTCCTCTTCAGCTTCACATGAAGTGTTTTTATGTCCATTGTTAGGTTATCAAGAAAATCGGGCATTATCTCAAGATGAATATAACGGTGCCGGAGGATTATATCACCGGGTTCATCCGAGCCAACAACACCTTCCTCTACCAGCTGGTGTTCGACCCCATCCAGAGGAAGCTGGTCCCTCTGAATGCCTATGGCGATGATGTTAACCCGGAAACCCTGAGTTACGCTGGACGGTATCCTTTCTGAGCATCGTGGTGGAATTTTTCCCTTTGTTAACATTACTGGTACTGGCACATTATTTTTAGTGTGACTTTAGTGAAAAAGAACAACTTGGAAATCGGTCTTATATTTTATCATGTAGATTGTTGTATTTTACTCAACTTTGAAAAACCGTGCTAGTGAAAAGTTAAAGTTCTGAATGTGAGCCTGAGGGACTTTCCCCCACCTCTCTCTGGAATGGGAGGAATTGCCTCGGGCTTCCCTTCAAGAAGACACAGCTCCTGCAAGGGACACAGGTCAGCGACCCTGCCTGTTGTCTCAATGATGCTGATGGGAACAGTGGGTGGGATCTGTGGCCATCATAAACCTTGAAGATTCTCTGTGGCAGTAGACAGCGTTTCCATTTCTTAGTGCCGTGTGATTCGATGGCTTGTTAATGGGGTCATTCTCCTTAACCCTACCAACCTAGGTATGTCGATGATTACGTAGCTCTACAGATAGCGCTTGGAAACAGAGATATAAATACTTTCGAGCAGATAGATGACTACAGTCCAGACACTATGGTAACATTTTAAGAACTACTATAAAAGCACATTTTAGTTTTGTCTCAAGAACTTTGAGGCAAGTTTTTGCTCAGCAGCTGTGAAGTATTCCTGTGTTTGGCTCTATGCAGGGTGTACATGGAAAACAATTCTACCTGGTGTGGCAGGCATCTGGAGTCCCAGGGTTTGCGACCCTGAGATGCTACAATTGCCATTCAAGGTTAGCCTGGGCTGTATAGTGAAATCTTGTCTTTTTGTTTTGTTGTAAGGCAGATTCTCATTATGAAGTCTTGGCTGTCCTGAAACTCACTATGCAGACCAGGATGGCCTCAAACTCAGAGATCTGCCTGCCTCTGCCTCCTGGGTACTGGAATTAAAGGCCTGTACACCACATCTAGCCAATTCCTTTTAAAGACTGATTAACTTGATCCTAGAGAAATTTAGATGTGACTGGGTGTTTTTTTTTGTTTTTTGTTTTTGTTTTTGTTTTTTTTTTCAAGACAAGCAGTTGTTATATAACTATATGTTACATTTGGTGCCTTGTTTCTTATTTTACACGATTCAGACTCTGGCACTTGGCATTGCTGAAAACCCAGAACATGACCCTTGAGTACAAGCTATTTAGGCTCATTCATAAATTAACTATTTAATGAGCGCCTGCTATGTGTCTAAACTCTTTACTGTTGTCTTCATTATATGAACTCTTTACCATGCTGTGATCTGATAGTTTGCACTGTCTCTTCTGTTCATGTTTATTTCTTCCATAGTTTCTTTGAGAATTAGTGCATGAATGCAACATTATGCCATTTGTGCACAGAACATGTTTATCTTATTATCATTACTGAGGTGGCAATCTGTATGTTGCTGGCTGTGCTGTCTTTATACATTTAAATGAGCAATTCTGTAGTTTCTCCAGGAAGGATGCTAAATGATTGGTTGTGTGGTTGCACTGACTTTATGTCGGGTATGAGTTGCTAAGAAAGCCAGATCTTTTTGTTTTGTTTTGAGACAGGGTTTCTCTGTGTAGCCCTGGCTATCCTGGAACACTCTCTGGCCTCATACTCCCAGAATGCTTACTAAGTCACCCACACTGGGCCTGAACTCACTAAGTAGCCTGACCCTCCCATATTGGCCTCCTGGATAGCTGGGTCACAGGCCCACATCACCAGGCCAGGCTCAAAAGCTTTTCTCTTGAATGGTAATTGAACATTACTATATGCAGATACAGCAGGAAGTGTCCATTTCTCCTGTGCAAGTAACCTTTTTCCTTGTTCCTTTTTAGCCTGTCCACTCAAGAAGTCATAGCTGGAATGACAAATCGTGTCAGAAGTCACCTGTTTCCAACAGCATTTGGCACAGGAATTATTGTCCTAGACGTGAAGTGAATGGTGTTTCCCATGCTCCTCCGTTGAGGGAAAATTCAAGTACTGTGGGCCTTAAACAAGTGATTAGTACTAAAGGGTTAAATCTTCCTAGGAAGCCTTCCACGTTCAAGAGACCAAGAAATGGTATGTATTTCATTTTTTCCAGATGCTGGTGGTTATTATGAGTCTCCTTCTTCCTCCGGGGTCATAGGCCACCAACCCAAGAGGGAGGAGGGAGCAGAAATGGGGAGGAGCAGGGTTCCTAGGAGCACAGTTCAGACGGCTGTGAGTACATCAGCTGTGGCATCACCGAATAGATGCTCATAGTATGCTTTATTTGCGTTTGGCGGCACCATCCCATCATACAGATGGGAGCATGACACCTAGCTATCATGAGCAGCAGGGGTAGAGCATTTGCAGGAAACGGCGTTGAAGGTCACACTTCAGAGAACTCAGGCATCCAGGCTCAGGGGCAACTTTCCAAATAAGGTCAGGCAGAGTAGAAGTTCTACCATTTTGGGCTTAACTCAGAGCTATCTGGACATGGCGGACTGCAGCCTTGCGTAGCGGGGACTTCCAACAGTTGGTCAAACTTAGGAAACATTTTCCAAGCCTGGGCCACTGTAGTTTCTTTGATTCACCCTGTTAGTCTCACGGTTGTCGTTACTACGTTTGGAGATACTGAAGATGGTGAAAAGGAAGGCTGCAGGCTCCTTAGTTTATGTATGACAGTGTGGTTGTCCGGTACTGTTGGCCGAGGAGTTTCTGTTTTTCCAGATAGCCATCTTGCAGCTGTTGGCAATCCCTTACCGTCCTGTGCATCCTGGCTGGGCAAACCCTCTGCTGCCTGTCCTGACCTGAGATCACACACTCGTTACCATAGCTCCACTCCTCTTGAAATATGGTGGTGTAAATCCCTGCAGTTCCTTCTCCTTTTCTTTCTTTTTTTTAAAAGATTTATCTATTTATTATGAATACAACATCCTGCCTCCATGTATGTCTGCACACCAGAAGAGGGCACCAGATCTCATTTTGGATGGTTGTGAGCCACCATGTGGTTGCTGGGAATTGAACTCAGGACCTCTGGAAGAGCAGTCAGGCTCTTAACCTCTGAGCCATCTCTCCAGCCCCCCTCCTTCTACTTTTCAAAGGTTATCTTGTGGCTGTTTGAGGTTCTTTCTGTTTCTATGTAATCTTTAGGAGTCACTTGTCAATTTCTCTTTTTTAAAAAAAGCAATGGAACTGGGTGGTGGTGGTGCATGACTTAATCCCAGCACATGGGACGGAGAGGCTGGCAGATCTCTGAGTTCAAGGCCAGCCTGGTCTACAGAGTGAGTTCCAGGACAGCCAGGGCTGCACCGACACACACACACACACACTCACACTCACACCAAGGGAGGGATGCTATGGAGATTTAGTTAAATCAATAATTTAGAGCCAGTGGCATTATTATTACTGGATATGTGTGGGAATGCAGTTTTGTCACTATGCTCCTTTGGGGTCAGAGGACAACTCTGTGTCTCTACCTTTCCAGCTTCGTGTGGGTCCTGGGGCTTGAACTCCATTCTTTGGGGCTTGCACACTGAATAGCTAGCCACTGAGCCATCTCACCAGCCCAGTACAGCTGGTTTTCATATGTTAGTCTTGTAGTTTGAAACCCCCAAACCCGAAACTAAGTCCGGTCCCTATTGTCCTTCAGACATTCTGAGGTCGCAGTTGTGACCCAAGGGAATTCCTTTTTGGACTGCAAGTTCTCTTTGTGCTTTGTATGTAATTGAACTCGTGGTGGCGCGACTGTGACAGTGGGTGTGGTGGTCAGCGTGGCCAGGTGGACACTGGTGGCACTCAGGCCCTTCTCCAATGCTTTCACCTTTGCAGAGTCAGGCTGCTTACCCTGGCAGTGAGTGACTTACCATTGTTTCTGTCATTGGCTGAGCTTAGGGTGAGTTTCTCCAGTTGCTGTCAAAGCCAAGTACAGTGACATTTTAAACCTCCATGTAGGTTGTTGAAACTATGTCCCTGTGTCATACGTTTTAGGTTATTTTGTGTTTGTGTATAGAATACTTGAGTGAGTTAGAGAATTTTTTTGTTGTGCCCTGAAATTTTGAGTAATTTCGTATCAAATCATATAGATAATTTAATTAAATGTTAACTAATTTGCAAAATTGTAAAACAAAGGAATTGTTTTTCAGTCCTTTTTTTAAGAAAAGATTTATTATGTATACAGTGTTCTGCCTGCATGTATGCCTGCAGGCCAGAAGAGGGCACCAGATCTCATTACTGATGGTTGTGAGCCACCATGTGGTTGCTAGGAAATAAGGTGTCCTTTTTCTGAGGCATAGCTTTCAAAAAACAAAATAGGACCAAGTTATGGCTCCCTGCTAGCCCTTGACCAGCATGTGCAGAAAAAAAGGATGCTTTGCTTTTAGGACATTGGGGCTGGGGGTGGGCTGTGAAATCCAGGACAAGTAACCAGCAACAGAAGAAGCCCATGTGTTTACATGTGCTTCCGTTTTTGTTTAGAAGCTCTGTCTGAAGATGACCTATTGAGTCAGTATTCTTCATTTACAAAGAAGACCAAGAAAGACAGCTGTGGAGATAGCGCAGCTTCTAACTCTTCTGAAATGTCTGCACACCACCTGGATGATGGGACTGCTCACAAGACGGATGCGCACACGCCGTCTAGGACAAGGAACAAATTCGCAGTGCTTTTACAGAGGAAGAACGAAGAAAGCGGCGCAGTTGTAGTTCCGGGGACCAGAAGCAGGTATCGTGTCCCCAGAGTGCCTTTAAGCTGGGTGTAGCATTATTTGCGGAAACCTGTCACATGCTTGTTTTCTTAGTGCTTAAGTCTCAGTTACTTCACTGTTGCTGTGACAGAAGTGCCTGGCAGGTCCTGGATGTTGTGTGCACAAAGTTGTAACCGCATAAGGCTCCAGTGGCCTGATCCTTTGTAGGGCCTGGCAGGGACAGGCCACTGCTGGGTGTGCTATCTCAGGATTTGTTCGGCAGGGGCCTGCCAGGTGAGCCGAGTGTGGCTGCCCTGGCTGATGTTTCTGCAGGCGCTCAGCCAAAGAGCCCGCTGGCCTGAATGGGGAGCGTCCCATATCGACCAGGCTGGCATGGGTGTGCCCTGTGCCCGGCCTGATGTGGGTGTGGGTGTTTCTCCTGAACAGAACCTATCTGCTGGGGGAGAGGTAGCTGCGGCAGGAGACCCGGGGGTAGCATGGGTCTCCCTGTTTACACGTAGCTGATAGAGTCATACACAGGTCCTGTGTGCCTCTGCCCAGCCCTCCTGTTGTTTGTGTGTCTGTGTGTGTGTGCGCGTGTGTGCTTCTTGAAGGTGTCTGCCTGTTGTTCTCAGGTGGTCTTGTGGATGTCTTTCAGAAAATGGTTATTTTCTATGATTCGTCATGGAATTTGTTCTAATAAATCATTCTTCTGCATGGCAATACACCAGGAAAAAAAAGTGCCTGGCAGAGAAAAAGTAACTTAATGAAGGAAAGGTTTGTTTTAGGTCATATTCCAAGAGTACAGTCCATCATGCGTATGGAAAGGTGTCAGGAGCAGGAGGCAGCTGGTCAGTCACATTGCATCCCCGGTCAAGAAGAGGAAAACTAAACGCCCAGCTCTGTCTCCTTTGTATTCAGTTCAGCACTCTTAAGCCCAGGACTCTAGTGTGAGTCATCTACCAAAGGATTCTCACAGGCATGTCCAGAGGCTCCTTTCCTGGGTGACTCTCGTCCACATGAACCACCACACCTTAGTTCAGACCAGAGTGTGTTGTTGATTCCTCCTACGTGTTAGTTCTGGGAGCTGTCCTTACACAATCAGCGTGTTCCTACAGGTCCACTGTGTAGTCGGAGTTCTGTTCTTAGGGTTTTCTTCCCATTTTCCATTGTTTCTCCTTTTATGGTATTTTGAGGAGCTGATTGATCTGTCTTGTCTTAATTATCTTTATTAATGTCAACACCTTTCCTATAAATATTTCTGTTTATCTTTAGGATCTAGAAATGCAGTAAACAACACTAGTTGGGAAGGAACAGCTGTGAACTGAGACAGGATTTTGGTTTGGGTCTTTTGTTTTCTGGTTGGCCTAGAACTGTGTAGACCGGGCTTGCCTTAAACTCACAGAGATCCCCATCTCTGTCTCCCAAATGCTGGGATTTAAGAAGCCTCGGCTGTCTTCTACCTAAAGGTTCACCATATAAGTAACTTTAAAGATGTGCATGTTATCATGATAAAATTTATACCTCAGCCAGGCATGCTGGTACAGGTCTTTAATTCCAGCACTTGGGAGGCAGAAGCAAGTGAATCTCTGTGAGTTCGAGGCTACCCTGGTCTATATAGCAAACTCCAGGACAGGTGGAACTATGTAAAGAGACTCTGTCTCAAAAAACAAAACAAAAAAAAGTAGGATAAAAGCGCCAATTAAAATTCAAGATCTTTGTCATCATTATGTAAGAAAGTAGATATTTGAATCTTGATAAAATACTGAAGACAATCCATTCTTCCTGTTTCTTGTTAGGTTTTTTTGTAGTTCTCCAGATTTTGACGATTTTGTACCAAAAAAAGCAAGCAGTCAGCCTCTAAATGAAACTGCTGTCACAGGCAAAGCCACTACCAGCTTCAGAGCACTGAGCTGTCCAGGCACAGATGGCCTTGGAGCCCCGGACTGTCCAGGCACAGATGACCTTGGAACACCAGACTGTCCAGGCACAGCCAACCTCAGAGCACCAGACTGTCCAGGCACAGCCGACCTCGGAGCACCAGAGTGTACAGGCACAGACGACCAGAAACTAGTTGGTATAAGTGGGATGCAGGATCCAAGTGCTCAGATCCCAGGCAGTGTGACTGTGTCTCCTGATGAGGCTCAGTCTTCTGAGACCAGTAAATTCGTAGCAACCATTTCCCCGCCCTCTCTGGGGACACTTAGAAGTTGTTTCAGTTGGTCAGGAACTCTTAGAGATTTTTCAAGAACTCCAAGTCCCTCTCCAAGCACTGCGTTGCAGCAGTTCCGAAGAAAGAGCGAGTCCTCGTCCTGTGTGCCAGAGACCAGTGCCTTGACTGACACATGTCATTCAAAAAGTGAGATGTCAAGTGCTAAGTCTCCGCCCTTGCATGAGGTGGGCTGGTCCTCACGATGTCAGGAAAGCATAGACTCCCCGTGCAGTTTAAATGCATCGAACCTTCCTCATCCATCCAGTAAGGATTCGGATTCAGAGGTGAGAAACGAACTGGCTTTCTTAATTTTTATTCAGAACTCTTCCTGTTTTTCTGGGACTGGAGAGATGGCTCAGTGGTTAAGAGCACTGGCTGCTCTTCCAGAATACCCGAGTTCAATTCCCAGCACCTGTATGGCAGCTCATAACTGTCTTTAAGTCCAGTTCTAGGGGTTCTGACGCCCTCACACAGACATACATATATGCAAAACATCGATGCACATAAAATAAGTCAATTGAAAAACACAATCCTCCTGTGTAGAAAACTTGCATTTTATTCACTTGAGGGGCCTCTCTGTCTTTATTTCTTTGTACTCCTGGATACCTACACTAGCGTTTCCTGGAGGCCCCTCAAGTGAACCTGGGTGCTCCACTGACTGGGACTAGACAGTTGTCTTCTACGCCTAATTATCTTCTAATCTAATCAGTGATAGCCTATGAGATGAATTGATACTATAAATTTACTATTAATATAACTTCAAATTCATCTAGCCTTTCATAGCATATAAAGGAATGACTATATTAACGTTTTCGTGTTTGTTGTATCTTATCACTTTGGAAATAGTTTCTTTTACTTTTTTATTTCTGATAAACTTCCTTTGTAATAACACAAATAGCAATTTTTGAAATTTAAAAGCATTTAGTCCTTTTACATATATCTGACTTCAGTTTCTTTTTATTTCTGGCTTTGGTTTGGCTGACATCAAAACCTTAACTAAATACTGCTTGTAAATCAGTGACATTTTGGAATGATGTGACGGCTTCATAGCTCTCTTTAAATCTGTTACCTCTAAGTTGCTAATGCTGTCATCTTCTAAGTCTGTCCCACTTGACACTGTTTGGTGTTTTAGGAGCTTGTCAGGGCACATGCCCCGGGGCACAAGCAGGGATCGGAGGACAAGCCACGGGAGTCACTTCTGTCCCTCTTCATGTCCTGGGGATTGAACTTGGGTCGCCAGCCCCTGGCCTCAATGAGTCACTTCACAAGCTCCCCTTGTCTCACTTTGCCTTCAGCTGCTCCCGTTTGACACTGCCCTGTGATCTATAAATCTCTTCCATGTAGGGTGAACCTCTACTACATGGAATGTTGTGTCTTAAGGCCATTTGAGTTACCGGGACAGTTACCAGCTCGAAAACAACAGCAACATTGCTGTTGGACACTGCAAGCCTGCTGAGCTCCTGGGGGAGGGGGCAGGGAGCCTTTTTCTTCCTGCAGCTCATCTTTCTGTTTCACTAACTTTGTAAGCTTTCAGCTGAATAATGAGGTCCTCATCAGCTCACAGGCTGAGGCGCCTTGTGTTGAGAGCCATTCTGTCTTCTGGGATAAACATCTTCCATCCTATGGTGGTGTTAAAATAAGGGCTATCCTAGCACTAAGGAGGTCTGCCTGGGCTGCTGAGCAAGACCCGCTCTCACAAACAAAACAAAACAAAAAAAGGAAAGAAAGACACTCCCCAAAAACTAAGTGATGGCTCATTCACTGAATGTCCTCTTGCCTCACAGGAGGGAGGGTAAATGCTCAAAAAGATTGAATTCATAGAGTTAAACTTAATATTTATTTGGTTTATAAATGTTCCCAAACCACAATGCTGTTTTTGTTTTGTTTTTGTTTTTACTGTCCTTTAGCTTTTGCTTTGAATATCAGTTCTCACTGCGTACATCTGAAGCTCTTCAGTATTGGAGCCTTTGATGAAAGTTCATTGTTAAAAGGCAGCAACAGATCCAGCCATTCACCTAGCCAGAATCTAATCTGAAGAGCCTTGCCCATGGCCCTATTTATTGTAAGAAATTGTTTAGCCAGGCAGGGCGTGGGGCAGCGCTGTAACCTCAAATGGTGAGGGTTGCAAATTTGGCCACAGCCTGGGCTGCATGCCCTGCTCCCGTCGGAAAAACAAGACGTGCTGAGATGAGGTGCACACGGCGGCGCTCTTCTGCAGTCTCAGAGGTCAGGAAGCAGGGCGAGGAGGCTGATGTGACTGACGCAGCTTGGTCTGTGTGATAGTTCCTTACCATTAGGACTGTAGAGCAAGAGACCTTGTCAAAAAAAAAAAAAAAAAAAAAAAAAAAGGAAAGAGAGAGAGAGAGAAAGAAAGAAAGAAAGGAAGAAAATAAATTAGCCAAATTGACCACGTGCAGCACTACTGCTAGCTACAGCAGAGAAATGTGAATGTTCTGTAAGGCACAAGGCAATCTTGTCTCTGTTAAATGCGTGATAACGGTATAGGATCCCAAGAGGAATCCAGGAAACCTTAGAGAAATGCTGAGTCCTGTCCTCACTCCCTGGCCTTTCTATAGATGCTGAGAGAAGCCTCATTATGTGGAGAGTCTTGTGGACTGAAGCAGAGGGAACTGAGGTAGGGGTGCTCCTCAAAGTCACTGCTGGAGTTAAACGAGCATTTGCTCAGGCACCTCAGGTAGAGGCTGCTGCTGCTTTTCAGTGCTGACCATTTTACAACACAGCTAAGAGATCGTAGACTGTGCTGGCGCAGGTTCTGGAGTCAGTGACTTGAAACTGTGGCCAAGTAAGAGTGAATCTGTTACAGCAGGAGACTCCAACGGTTTCTGAGTTGCCGTATTTAGATAAGAGTCTCGTACATACATCCAATGAACTATGATCAGATACACCCTTGCCTCCCTATCTCTCCCTAAGTCCTCCCAGCACCTACTGCTCTTAACTTCATGTCCTTCTTCTTTGTAGCCCATTAAGTACAATTAGTGCCGCCCATATGTGCATAGGTATGGGACATGGGAAACCCTCTGCCTCCCTCAGCACCTATCACCTCAGTAGACAGGGAGGGGTAGGGCCTGGAAATCATTTTGACCAGCTGCATAGGAATTTCAGCTGCCTTGGTTTTGCACAGCTGTGTGTGTGAGTATGCGTGTGGAGTTGGTTTTGCACAGCTGTGTGAGTACATGTGCATAGTGTTGGTTTTGCACAGCTGGGTGTGTGAGTATGCGTGTGGAGCTGGTTTTGCACAGCTGTGTGAGTGCGTGTGCATAGTGTGAGTGTGTGTCCGTGGTAGCTGTGCCATGACCACAGTACACTCAGAGCACTCCTCCCCTCCTCTGGCTCTTCCTGCCCCCTCTTCTAAGATGTGCCCTGACCCTGGGCAGGGCTTGGGGCCGAGAACGATGTCCCTTTTAGGACTAAGCACTTTGTGTGTCAGTCTCTATTGTATGGACTGTTTCTTCAGCCTAAACATTTTGGTACTTTCTTCAGTGAAACTGACATGCCTTTTCCATTTTAACTGATTGTTTCCCATGTTTAGTTCATTTTATTTCCCATGTTTTTATGTATTTTGTGAATTATGTTATTTACCCGAGTTTCTCATTTCATACAATTGGTTGGATATTGGTGCAGTTGTCATAAAAACTCAAGTAAGCCAGGTGTGGTGGTGCATACCTTTAATCACAACATTCGGGAGGCAGGTGGCCAGCAGCCTGGTCTACAAAGATAGTTCCAGGACAGCCAGAACTGTTACACAGAGAAACCTTGTCTAAAAAGAGACAAACAAACAAGAAAACACTCAAGTAAATTTTTGTTTTCCATCTGGGGAATCTAGGAACCGGATTGTAACAATAAATCACTTGATAATCAAGGAAATCAGAACTCCAAGCAACAGTTACCTCCCTTTTCAAAGAGAGACACACTTGTAAGGAACAAGGTAAAACATTTAGAATTATTTTTTTAAACTTCAGAAGCAGTGTGTAATTATTGCCAGAAAATGAGAAATACACACACACAAATAGAAAATTAAAATACCTGCCTCTGAATTTTAAAAAAAATACTCGGTTTAATCCCAGCACTCAGGAGGCAGAGGCAGAGGCAGGTGAATCTCTGTGAATTCAAGGCCAGCCTGGTCTACAGAGAGAGTTACAGAACAGTCTCTAAAGCTACACACAGAAACCCTGACTGGAAACCCCTCCCCCCCCAAAAAAAACCCCTCACTTTTAAGTGTCTTTGGACACCATTTGTGCTTAGCTATGGATTGTCTAACCTGCTAACTGAAACATACTTTTTCATTTTCTCTGTTTCTTAAAAAGAATCCTTTTCCATGTACATAGTAATAAATATTTCTACATATGTTACATAATCTAGTTTACCCTTGTTGTGCCCAAGTTGCAAAGATCCCCAGAGAGCGCCAGGGAGACAGACCCATTGAACTATAAAAGGGAGATTTTATTGTTGTTCAGACCATGACAGGGACCCCATCTAGCAAGCTGATGCAACAACCTCCACGGGGAGTGAGGTTCCCAGTCTACTGCTAGGTTTTAAAGACAAAAGTCACAGTATTACATTAGTTGGTTTCTGATTGGTTCACATTTGGGAACAATTAGTATTTCTCAAAGTCATATTTTGGCATGAAATACTTGTGTACCAATTATTCTCATTGGTCAGTGCCAAGAGGGAACATTCTGTGGTTTCTATGGCTTTGTCTTGTTACTTGCATGTGGCCTGTTGTTCAGATACCAATGGTGTTTAGAACTATATCCTGGAGACTATAGGGGAGCTTTTGGTCTTCCCTGGAGTTTCTTTTGTGTCCAAACAGTTCCCAGGGACCAAGCATCTAGAAGGCTAGGGGGGTCTGGAGTTTCTTTGTGTTCAGTTTTGGCCCTAGGGTCCAGGAGGCCAGAGGATCTGGAGTTTCCTTGTGTCAGAGGCCTACATGTCTTTTCTGTAGCTTGTCATGGCTGCTAAAGGGGTAGGGGGGTTGAGTGAGGGTCTGGTCCCTTCAACCCTAAAATTTTTTACCCTAGAATTTTTAATTAACTTGTGAGAATGAAGTCCATGGTGATTGACTATTCCTGGGGTGAGAACGATTTGCTGTGTATTGCCAAAATACCTGTTAATACCACTGATTGAGAATAAGGCCACTCCTACAATTTAAAGCCAAATTTAAAGCAAGCTTTAATTAAATTCTGACCAGGACCTTCTCTGGGATTCCAGAAGATGGCCTAGAATCAAGTATTCAAGGCCTTGAAAAGGAAAACCAATAATTTAATTCACTTCCCACCAGATGCAGTCAGGGGCAAGTACCCGCCCACATGTAATCAAGCACATCTGGTGCAGACAAACAGACCTGTTTAGGGTCGTGAAAACATGTGACTTTTTATCTCCGGTAACCAGTAGCCTCTGACATTTCAGGAACTGTCTGCCCTTGGGCAAGGGGCTTGCTGACCAGAGGCATTTTTGTTTCGTGTATGTCTAAGACATAGTAATTAAAACTTAAAATGTAACTTTGGTTCTCACATAATAAACACTGTGAGCCCAAGCAGAGCTTTGGGTTTTATTTGTTTAATTTTTTTACTTTTATGCACATTCTGCCAGATTAATCAGTTTTAAAGACTTGTTCACACACCTCCCTCTCTATCCTAAAAAAAAATCAGCCCTTAAAGGCTGGGTGTGGTGGTGCTCACATTTAATACCAGCACGTGTGAGGCAGAGGCAGGAGGAGAAGCTCTGTGAATTAGCCAGGGCTATATGGAGAGACCTTGTCACAAACAAACAAAAAGATCAGTCCTAGAGTGGAAACAAAAGCATCAAGAGAGTTAAGTCCATTGTGCTACCTTTGCACAGTGATAGAGCAGACAGACTTAATCAAAATACAATCCAGTTTCATGTTGAAATGCAAGAATCTCCCAGACATACTATGTGGCATCAAGGACAAAATAGTAACTCACAGTTTTCTGTGTGTGTTACTCACTAAGTGCACTGAACCCAGCAGTCTTTGAATGAGGTGAAGAGGAAGGAAATAAGACTCTCTTTTTAACTGAAATTGTATGCCAGAAGTGTGTTGCCTGTTATGGGACTGATTGTTTCTGTAGTAGACATCTTTAGAATTTTGCATTGCATATGGATATTTTTCCTATTCTGTTATATAAAGAACACTTAGGTGCTTTTAGATCAAAAGGTTAAAACTGGCATATGAGGAGACCCATCTCTAACAAGCAAAATAACTACAACAATTCTAATTTATCTTCAGGTACCTGGGCTGTGTAGGTCTAGTTCTACGGACACACTTTCTACAACCAAGATCAAGCCCCTGGTGCCTGCCAGAGTCAGTGGCCTGAGCAAGAAGCCAGGAAGCGTCCAGAAGAGAAAACACCATGATACCGAGAACAAGCCAGGGCTGCAGATAAAGATCAGTGAACTCTGGAAAAACTTCGGGTTTAAAAAGTGAGTTTCCTGCTTCCCCTTTTGATCAGGACAGAGCACTGTCTCCTGTAGCCCCGCCCCCAGCTCCTTGAGTTTTCGTGGGACTCAGTTTCTTCTGTTGCTTACGTTCAGCTTTCCGTCCCGCGTGGAGCTTCCTTTCCAGACCGGAAGCTCCTTTGCTTCTCTTTGTGCAGGACTGGAATGGAATAGTTAGGTGGGAGCTGGGAGCTGTGTTGGTTAAGTGCTCACAGATGTAACCAGACAAACCAGTGTTTGGGCCCCAGTAATGTTTTAGGAACATGACTGGTTCCAGAAGACAACGTTGGGATCTGCTAAGTCAGCTTCCTTTGAGACTCCCAGTGTGACTTGAGCAGCAGCTGTCACCCCCCCCCCCCCCCCCTTATTTTGCAGGGCTCCCACGCAGACCAGCTCTACCTTAGGACACTTGGCTTATTGAGAAGTACAAGAAACTTAATTCTAAACTGGTGCTTCTCCGGCTGACGCTGAAATCTACCGCAGGGTTAAAGGGTACCTGTAGAAAGGGTCCATTTGTTAGACGTTGCATGTCACGCCCCTCAGCAGAGCTAAAGAACGGCTTCATTAAGAGCAGCTGCTGCTCGTCCAAAAGACCCGACTTTACTTCCCACTGGCAACTCAGAGCTGGCTGTAACTAACTACAGCTTTAGGGACAGCCATTTCCTTTGTAGCCTCTGCGGGCTGCTGCTCTCACAAAGAACAATTTTAATGTTAAATACATTTAAAAGAGCCGTTGAGATAGCACATCGAAGACGCTCACCTCCAAGCCTGCTAGTCTGAGTCCGATCCCAGGCCCCAAGTGCTGGAAGGAGAGAATCAACACCTGTAAGTTGTCCTCTAAACCTCCACAGGCACCCCATAATGTTAGCAAGGTGCCGCCGATGTAGATTGGTGGGAAGCTTGTGATTCTGGGACTGCGGATCTGGCTGAGTGGTTGAGAACACTTGTTCTGTGAGCATGAGGGCCTGAGTGTGAATCCCCCGATCTACCTAAAAAAAATCCAGGTATGGCTGCCTGACCTGTAATCCCAGCATTTGGAAATGGAGACAGGCAGATCTTGGAACCTAGCCTAAACACCTGAGCTTGGTTCAGCAAGAGACCAGGCTGGCCTCATACTTAGAAAAATCCACCTGCCTCTGCCTTCCAAGTGGTGGGAGTAAAGGCGTGAGCCACCAAGCCCATCTTAAACAGCTTTCCTTTTTTTCTTTTGGAGACTTAAGTCTCACCGTGTAGCCCTGGCTGCCCTGGAACTCACTATGTAGACCAGGCTAGCCTCAACTCACAGAGAACCTCCTGCCTCTGCCTGACACTCCCGTGGCTGTCTCTTGCTTTCACGGCCTTTGGTGGGGGTGGCTGGGACAGGTAGTGGCTGAGTGTGGCCTGGTGTCTACACTCACATTGAGTTGCTGGCAGCTTTTACCGTACAAATGTCAACACAGGAGTCCAAAAATTATGAAAATAATTCCATCCTACAGAGCTCCTGAGAGACTCATCTGTTAAGGGAAATCTCCACCAGCACTCATCTTCAGGGCTCGTGGGACTTGCAGAGCCAGTGTCAGAAGAAATCAAAGTTACAATAGTATTCTTTTCTTTTTTGGTTTTTTGAGACAGGGTTTCTCTGTATTGTTTTGGAAGCTGTCCTGGAACTTGCTCTGTAGACCAGACTGGCCTTGAACTCACAGAGATCTACCTGCCTCTGCTTCCCAAGTGCTGGGATTAAAGGTGTGCGCCACCACCGCCTGGCTTACAATAGTATTCTTAAAGATCTATTGGGGGAGAAAATAACTTAGTGGTGTTTAATATGTATTGAGAGGAGACAAAATGTTACTGTATTATTTTCGTAATTGGATTTTTAATAGGTGTGGAGTACTAGGGAGTTTGGTTTAAAAGAATGCAGCTTATTGTTGTGCTGTTGGTGTTCATCCTTAGCCCGAGGCCAGTAAGGAGGTGTTTAAAATACACACCTTTAATCCAGCACTTGAGAGGCAGAGACTGGAGTCCAAGGCCCAACTGGTCTATGCAGGGGGTTCCAGGTCAGCCAGGGCACACACACAGCACAACACAGTAAGACTGTATTAAAAACAAATTCTTTGCATTCCTGATTCGGCTGCTCTGTGTGTGTGTGTGTGTGTGTGTGTGTGTGTGTGTGTGTGTGTGTGTGTGTGTGTGTGTGTGTGTTACTAATAGACAAGCACCTACATTGGGAGGCTATTTTGAAAGCAAGAAGAGGCTGAAAATCAAATTTTTTTTATATCTTTGCAGAGATTCTGAAAAGCTCTCTTCCTGTAAGAAGCCCCTGTCCCCAGTCAAAGACAACATCCAGCTCACTCCAGAATCAGAAGAGGAGCTCTTTAACAAGCCCGAGTGTGCGCGTGCTCAGAGAGCAATATTCCACTGAGTGGGGACTGCTGTCTGCAGGAAACCTTACCGGTTCCAGAGATTATTACTATCAATGCCATTTTAAAAATGGAATGCATTTTGTATGTTAACTTTGAGTTTTGCTCAGCTTTTTATATTGTCATAAAAAGCTAACTAGAAGAATAAATGTGCCTTTCACATTTCTGGGATTTCAGTGCTAATGGGGAAGTCTGATGCTGATAACATCTAAAGGATTTTCTAATGTCAGTAGAGAATGGAAATAAAGAAGCTTTACAAAGAAATAAAAACATCACACTCCAAAATTAACCAGAGCCAAAATGTACAACTCAATGAACTTCAATACAGTTAAAACTAGCATTATAATTCATGTATATGTTTGTGCATGTGAGGACAACGAAGCCTGTGGAGTCCAGAGGAGGGTACCAGATTCTCTAGAGTTGCAGTCACAGATGTTTGTGAGCCAGCAGTGAGTACTGGGAATAAAATCCAGGTCCTCTGTAAGAGCAGCATGTGCTCTTAACAGTGTTCCATCTCTCTGCTCATCCCCATCCCATTGTCCAGGTTTTCCTTTGTTGTTTGGGTTTTTGTCTGTTTTTGTGGTTTTGAGACAGGGTCTCCCTATGTGGCACTGGCTGCCCTAGAGCTCACTCTGTAGACCAGGCCGTCCTCAAACTCACAGAAATCTGCCTGCCTCTGCCTCCCGAGTGCTGGGGTTAAAGGTGTGTCCCCATTGTCCAATTTTTATTGTTGTTAGTGGAAGAATCACTTCAAGACTTATTCCATCCTAAGACGTGGGGGAAGCCAGTGTTTTTGGTTTGGATTTTGGTTTTTTCGAGATAGGGTTTCTCTGTATAGCCCTGGCCTTCCTGGAATTCTTTGTGTAGACCAGACTGGCCTTGAACTCAGTTTTATCTGCCTCTGCCTCCCCAAAGTAATGGGATTAAAGTTATGTGTCACCACCCCCTGGCGGGATTTTTGTTTTTTAAGTGAAAAAAATTAACTACTCAACCACAATAAAGACTATTCTAAAATGTCCACAAGGGGGCATTGCCTTCATTCTGTTTGTGCCTGAAGTGTGAATTTCTTGGAAAAGTGCCTCTTTATACAATAGAGCTTTATTTTCATAACCATATAACACAAACATACCCCTGTTCATAAAATTACTGTCCCTGATCCAGTTCTCTATTAGAAGATTCTTTTTAACAATGAGGTTTGTTTTCTGTGACTTTTAGCCGGGTGTTGGTGGCACATGTGTTTAGTCCCCGCACTCGGGAGGCAGAGGCAGGTGGATCTCTGTGAGTTTAAGGCCAGTCTGGTCTACAGAGCGAGTGCCAGGACAGCCTCCAAAACAATACAGAGAAACCCTGTCTCGAAAAAACAGAAACAAAAAAAACAAACAAACAAAATCTTTTAAAATGATCTTAATTTAAAAAAATAGATGATCTTAATTTTTAAAGCCCACATGTGATTTTGAACATCTTTTCCTCTAGACATACACGGGTCAACATGCCACTGTGCTCATTTAAATGCACATGCCATGCATGATTTAATTAAAAAAATAGTTCTTTCTACTAAGTATTCAATAGATCAGTACCAAATTTTGAAATAAATAGTAATGATAAAGACCCCCCAAGGGGTCATGACCCACAAGCTGAGAATTACCAAGGTTACAGAGAGAAACCCTGTCTGGGGGGGAAAGAAAAAGAATTCATCTGGGTTAGGGGAGCACCAAGCCCAACCCTGACTGGGAACTTTATGGAGTGTGGCTCACCCCAGGGGATAAGAAAGTGTTAATAGCCTGTGTTTCACCTTGCTGCCTCTGCTGTCACTGCATCATGGCCAAGGCTTTGGAGCTCCCTGGGAGAGCTTCTGGAAGGTTCTGAAACTTCCTAAGACTGCTGGAGTCCTGGAATCCAGGTGAGGGATCAGAACATGGTTTGAAGTCTCAGCTACTCCGTTCATTCAGATCTCAGGTGTCCCTTTGGTCTCCAACAACCCATGTTTGACTTTGTTCAGGCAGTGGCTGGAACCGCCACCGCAGTGAGGGCCCAGAACAGGAAACAGCAAGCAAGTCGGGTAGGAAGAAGTAAGTAGTGAAGTCCACAGGGAAAAGGGGAGGAGGAGGGAGAAAAGACACCTGAAGTGGGATGATGGTGAGCCACAGTTGGAGTCTCGAGCCTTCTGCTGCACTAAGGAAGGCCCTTTCTCTGAGCTCTCTGGTGGTAGTCTAGCTTTCCCCCAGGGACCTGGGAATGCCCTGGACTTTTGGGCCCCTATGTCTCTGAGACCAGTGACATCTCAAAAAGGGATCATTTTCCAGTACCAGCCTCTATTCACTATCTCCCCTTTTCTAAAATATAAAATATAAATATATATATATATACATATATATAAATTTAAAGCACTAAAAGAAAATATTTTTTATTTTACATACATTGGTGTTTTGCTTGAATGTGTGTCTGTGTGATGGTGTTGGGTCCCCCTAGAACTGAAGATCAGATAGTTGTGAGCTGCCATGTGGGTGCTATGAATTGAACCAGGGTCCTCTGGAAGAGCAGTCAGTGCTCTTAACCACTGAGCCATCTCTCCAGGCCTCAGCATCTTCTCAGAGGCACTGCCTATTGTCTTTGGGGACACAGTATCTTCTGACAGGCCAATCCCTGCTGTGGAACATTTGTTTTTTCTGGAACTGATTTCTCTGCTTTGTGTCTCTATTCTGCGACCAGCCTCTTGTCCCAAATGCAGGTTTTCTTTTGGGTCTGTTTCTTGTGCACTGCAGTCCCTTGCAAAACAAGGGATTTCTCAGAGATGGGGATCTTATGGGAAAGCATGGCCTCCTTGGCAAATGGTGCTGTCTACCTGCTTAGTTTTACAGTTTGAACTGTAAAAACCATCATGGAGCTGATTGTGCTAAGGTCTGAGACCCTGTTACAATCAAAAGGAGTGAGTATAGACAGACTTTTCCCTTATAGCCCATCAGATGTGTTCAACCTGTGGCCCTCTGGCTGCCTGTGAATAAGGATGGCTATGAATGCATCCAACGCAAAAGTACAAGCTTCATATTGTCATTTTAAAAAGCGTTTGAGTCTATCATTTCACTCAGGGTAGGGTCCAGGCACTTCCCTAAGAGAGCATCCCTCTTTGTGTTATGGACACACGATGTCTGTTAGTATTCGAGGGATAAACACTGATCCACTGCTCAGGACCCCATAGGTAGCCCAGGCCTCCTCATTGACTCTCACATTCAGGGGGTCTGGATTGGTCCCATGCTGGCCTCCCAGCTGTCTGTCTGGGGTCCAAGAGCTCCCCCTTGTTCAGATCAGCTGTCTCTGCTGGTTTTGCCAGCCCATTCTTTGCCAATTCGCTATTCGCGCCTCTCTCTCTGTCGCTGGGTTCCTTGGGTTCTGTTCAGTGTTTAACTGTGGGTGTTTGCCTCTGCTTCCATCAGTTACTGGATGAAGGCTCCAGGATGGTTATAGACATCAAGTTCATTATCAGGAATGGGCATTTGGGGTAGTCTCTACACTATTGCTTAGCTTGCCAATTGGTGTCATCCCTTTAGATCACTAGAGGTCACAATGGTGCCTGATCTGTCTTCTAACCTATGATTCCCTCTTCCCCCTATCCTACCCCCCCAGGCAACCTTCCTGTTCCCCCAAGACCTACTCTCTCTTCCACTTCTCCCCCTCTCTATTTCCCAGGTCCCCCTTCCCCCTACCCCTCGCCGTGTTCCCCATCTGTTCAGAGGATCTTGCCTCATTTCTCTTCTCTTGGGTACCATGCATATCTTTTAGGTTTCCCAGACTCTCTGTCAGTGGAAGTGCAGACTGGCACTCTCCTGATCTATGTCTAAAATCCATATATGAGTGAGTGCATACCATGTTTGTCTTTTTTTTTTAAACATTTTTTTTTTTGGTTTTTTTTCGAGACAGGGTTTCTCTGTATTGTTTTGGAGGCTGTCCTGGAACTAGCTTTGTAGACCAGGCTGGCCTCGAACTCACAGAGATCCGCCTGCCTCTGCCTCCCGAGTGCTGGGATTAAAGGCGTGCGCCACCAACGCCCGGCTTCCATGTTTGTCTTTTTGTGACTGGGTTACCTCACTCAGGATGGTTTCTTCCAGTGCTATCCATTTACCTGTGAATTTCAAGATTCCATTGTTTTTTTTCTACTGAGTAATACTCCATTGTGTAAATGTACCACATTTTCTCTATCCACTGTTCAGTTGAGGGGCATAATTGGCAATAGGGTGGGAGGATGGGGGGGATGGTGGGCGGGTGCGGGAGGAGGGGAGGGAGAGGGAACTGGGATTGACATGTAAAACAAGCTATTTAAAATTAAAATCAATAAAAACAAAAACAAAACAAAAAAGCGTTTGAGAGACAGATGCTGTGTGGCAGAGTTCATGTGGTGGGTTTTTTAATTAGGTGAAAGGGATCATAAAAATGGGTAAGGGAAGGGGAGACCAGTCTCTGGGAACAGGAGCAGAGGGAAAGAGGAAAGGGGTGGGTGGGCGGGAGACAGGGAGGGAGGGAGAGGAAGGAGGTGGGTAGGGCTCTTTTAAAAGGGAACATGGTGAATATGCACAGGTGGTGCGGGCGTATCCTGTCAGAACCCCAAGGACAGGCCAGTACAGATGCCTGAATACTAACACATACTATGAGATTTTCTTTGGGTTGCTTTTTCCTGTAACTCTTTTGGGTAGTCGGTAGATAACAATGACCTGTACCAGTATCAAAAGGTTGGGCACACTTGTATGAGAAGTGTTCAATTTTTGTCCAAGATTATAAAACTGAGCTTGTAAGATAGCTCAGCAATCAAGGGCTCATGCCACCAAGCCTGAGGGCCTGAGTTACATTCTGGAAACCCACGAGGTGGAAGGAGAGAGATGATTCCTGCAAGTTGCACTCTGACCTCTGTACGTGCACCACAGCACACAGGTGTGTGCATATACCCACACAGTAACTAAGTGGGAGCAAAAAAAAAAAACTCTAAATAGCTAATTAGTAGGAGAACCAGAAGAGCTCAAGGCTGTGTGACACTATTTTATACTCTAACCATCTGTATAGGTGTGGCTGGGACTAGGTTAGCCTTGGGAACACACCCTGAACAACAACAACAACAAAAAAAAAATTCCAGGGGTCACCTTTCAGTCCATGGAGGTCTCATGGATTCCTCCCCAGCCTCAGGATCTGGGGATGAGAAGGCAGAATGGGTGTAGTCCTGACCTGTGTTTTTGTTTTTATCACTTTACATAACCCTGGGGACATACTCTAGACTTAGAGCTGACTGTGACAATGAACATAGTCCAGCCCTTGGGAAAACATTGGGAAAGGAAAGGCAGGCTTTGTGGACATCCTTTCTAACTGCATGACTCTGAGAGCAGGAAGGCCTCAAATGCCTTTGCAGTTGTTACTGCTAAATTCACAGCAATGGTCCATTATGGTTTCAAGTCTTGTTCATCTTTGACCAGCTTTGGCAGGCTCTGGAATATCGACTGACCTAGAGAAGAGGTCCTATAGTTAACTTAGGGGGGGATAATTCTTTTATTTATTGCTTTAGACATGCTTTCAGGAACTCATACAGGTTAAAAGAACTTCTAATTTTTGACTACCCTCCTTGTGGTGCATGCTGGTGCATGCCTTTAATACCAGCACTTAAGAGGCAGAGGTACAAGGATCTCTGAGGCTAGCCTGGTCTACGGAGAGAGGGCGTTCCAGGACTACACAGAGAAACCATATCTGGAAAAACAAACAAAATGTTTCAATATATAGCCCAGGCAGTCCTTCAACTCACAGTCCTCTCAGCTCAGCCTCTGAAATATGGGATTCCGGGGTTGAATCAAATTTTAGTCTATGGTTGATCTGATTGTAAAAATGAGAGCATTTTCATGCTTGTGTGCCTGTTATATTATGGTGCAATAAAGGACTCTAAATGTATTGTGATAGCAGTCTAAGTTTATAGGTCAGATCAGGCTTCCTGGAGGAGATGCCTCCATGGGTAACTGTCCTTGCCTCCAATCGATGGCTGGGGGTTCAATCCTTGGAACCTCCACGGTAGAGGAAGACAGCCAGCTCTTGAGAGTTGTCTTCTGACCTCCACATATGCATGATGGTACAGGGATGCTTTCCACGATAAATAACTCCATGTTCAAAATGGATTTTCAAAGGGAATGGAGAGCATTTGGGGTGGTGCGAAGTATAATAGACTGAAGAACTAAAACCAAGTCATATGCAGAAACAAAAAGAGTGGGGGCCACAAATGGTCTGGACTTGTCACACACACATACATACACACACACACACACACACACACACACACACACACACGGTATTTTTTTTTTCTTTTTGGTTTTTCGAGACAGGGTTTCTCAGTATTGTTTTGGAGGTTGTTCTGGCACTCGATCTGCAGACCAGGCTGATATCGAACTCACAGAAATCCACCTGCCTCTGCCTCCTGACTGCTGGGATTAAAGGTATGTGCCACCAACGCCCAGCTCACATACAGCATTTCAAGACAGGGTTTTCTGGTGTAGGCCTGACTGTCCTGGAACCAGCTCTGTAGACCAAGTTGGCTTCAAACTCAGAGATCCAGCTCAACTGTCTTTACCTCTGGAGTGCTGGGATCAAAGGAGTGTGGCAACGTTTTCCCTGGGGAGTTTATATTTTGAGATAGGGCCACTTAGAACCCAGGTAGGTCTCAAACTTACTAAGTAATGGAGACTGATCTTTCTGCCTCTACCTCCCAAGTGCTGAGATTACAGGCATGTGTCTCTTTTTGCTTTTCATTTCTGTGAGTCTTGCTACAGACCTGGATGGTTTGGAACTCAACTACAACAAACAGATCACAAGCCCGTCCTTTACTTTACTTTGTTGTTGTTTTTTGTTTGTTTGTTTTTCTGAGACAGGGTTTCTCTGTGGTTTTGGAGGCTGTCCTGGAACTAACTCTTGTAGACCAGGCTGGTCTGGAACTCACAGAGATCCGCCTGCCTCTGCCTCCTGACTGCTGGGATTAAAGGCGTGTGTCACCACCACCTGGCCTTTTTTTTTTTTTTTTTAAGGCAAGGTCTCAGTATATACTCCGGGCTGTCCAGATACAGCACAGCTTAGGCTGGTGATCAGCTCAGCTTTCACTGGGTGTGGTGGTACACACCTTTAATCCCATCACCAGGGAGGCCGACAAGTGACTGATCAGCCTGGTTTAAAAGTTCCAGGCTACCTACAATAGTGAAATCCCACCTCAAAAACAAACAAACAAGCAAACTCAAGATCCTCTTGCCTCCATGCCTTCAATGCCAGAATTATAGGCATGTGCCACCATACCAAGCTTAGACTTTTTCTAAAGATGAAATAAAGGCTTTGAGCATTTTAAAGTGGAATAAAGCATGGCCAGATTTTTAGGTTAGAGATTAGTTTTTGTTTTGTTTGTTTGTTTTTTGCTTTGTTTTTTTTTTTTCAAGACAGTGGGTGTGAGCCACCACCTCCCGGCTAGAGATTAGTTTTAAGGTGTATCTTGGAAACTTTAAAGGGGAAAAGCAAGACAATCAGCATTTCCTTTTCCAGAGAATCATTGGCCTATAGGAGATCTACAGGGAATTATAGTAAGGCATAGAGGGAAGGAGGCAAGAGACATCTCCAAAGACTCACTGGGCTGGAAAGAAACTTAGAGTCTGGTGGGAATGCAGACCTCCAGGATGTCTTCTTCCCGTTTCCTGTGCCAGCTCTGCAACGAGCCTCTGAAACTCTCACAGGCGCTCTGGGCACTGCAGAAGGAGCCCTTGGAAGCCCAGCAATGTACCAGCCCCTCCACGACGACCGCAGTCTCTGAGGAGGCGCTACAGGCCAGGACCTCCAGCAGCCGCCTTCCTGACTGTGGTGGGACACCCCAGGAACGTCCCTGCTGCTGCACCTTTACTCTGCTCGGTAGGTCTATATCCCTGAGAACTTTGCACGTCATCCAAAACACCACCCTAGAGATGTCCGAAGTCCTCTCTGGCCAGAAGGACGTGGACCACCCACTATGTGTGGACTGTATGGACAATCTTCTGACGCAAGTAGATGCCCAAATCGCTCTAGTGGAATCTGACAACCAGAAGTACAGGAGTTTCCTGGAGAGAGAGTCGCTGGTGAGTGAGGAGGAGAGGGAGGCCACGCACACGGAACTTTGTGCCGAGCTGCGGGATCTGGAGCAGGAAGAAGCGAGGCTGGCTCTGGAGCTGAAGGACATAGACCACCATCATGCAAGAATAGCTGCCGAGCTCAGAGCAGCCCAGGCAGAGAGCAAGGAGCTGAATCAACAGAAGGAGCAGTACTTGATGGATTATGCTGCCTTGAAGATGGGCCAGCTGGAGTTGATGGACCAGCTGAGCAGTGTGGAGACCCAGTTGGAGTATGCCCAGAAGCAGCTGCAACACCTGGAAAAGGCCAATATTTTCAACATCACCTTTACAATCTCGGATGAGGGTCCGTTGGGCATCATCAACAACTTCAGGTTGGGCTGCATTCCCGGCATCCAGGTGGGATGGGATGAGATCAACGCCGCCTGGGGACAGACCGCCTTACTGCTCTTCTCCTTGGCCAAGACAGTCGGGCTGCAATTCCAGAGGTACCAACTAGTTCCCTGCGGGGACCATTCCTACCTCAGATCCTTGAACGGCGACGGGGAGCTGCTGTTGTTCTCAGATGGGAGCCAAAACATCTTCTTGGATAACAAGTATGACCGCGGAATGAAGGCCTTCCTGGACTGCCTGCAGCAGTTTGTGGATGAAGCTGAGAAGACAGAATGTCTCTTCCTGCCCTACAGGGTCCATGTGAATGAAGGTTTGATGGAGGATGCCACGGGCAGTGGGGAATGCGTCTCCATCAGGACCCACCTGAACACAAAGGACCAGTGGGCAAAGGCTCTCAAATTCATGCTTACCGACTTAAAAGTGATTCTTGCTTGGACTTCTTTAAGGTACTATTGTACGTAGGAAGGAATCAAGCTGGAGGCATTTTGAATAAAACCTCCATTTTGAAAAGGGGTCAAATAAAATTTAAGTTCCCAAGACCTCCCAGGTAACTGACGTCCTGCCTGGCAGAGAGAGACAAGGATGTGGTTAATTGATATCCTGGTTTCAAGTTGAGACATTAATGGAGGGCACCACACGGATAAATGTCCCTAGGGAAGTCCCCATCCCCAAATCCTGATTGGTGGAAAAATATAAGTGTGACTTGGCACTAATGCCGTGGTTTCCAGGCTTAAAAGCTTTGTTACATTCTGACTTAGGGTAGCAGTTCTGCTCGTGTCTGTTCTGAGACTCTGATCAGTAGTGGCTTGATTGCAGTGGCTTTTTTTCTGCATTGACTTGGTGTGTGAGTTGTGTTGGCTCCAAGTGGACCCTATAACACTGTCAAAAATGACTTATTTTCTAAAGTACTAGGAAAATAAGATGGTCCATCTCAAGAATGTAACAGGTTTGTGATTCAAAGGTAACCGTTGTCTTTTTTGAGAGAGGTTCTCCATAGCTCAGGTTGACCTTAAAATGAACCAATCAGGAATGAGCTTTAAAATATTGCCTCAGAGGCCCTTGGTTGATCACTGGCACCAATATGTGTATTTGCTCAGAGGGACCCAGATGTCGTTGTGAGTTCCTGTGCCTCTTTTCCTTGCTTGTTGTATCTTTCTCTGGTTCACCTCCACCCAGGCATTCAAAATGATGTGCGTGGGGGACAACACAAAGATATATAACTCCTGCATTAAAAAATGAGAAAGATAAAGACAGACTTGGTCGGAGATGAGTGGCACCGGGGAGTGGTGTACAAAAGCTGAGGTTTGAACTTCCTGAGAAGAAACGTGGTGGACCTTTGGAGGGTGGCAGTCATGGGTTCAGACTTCAGGGATTACGAGTTTGTTGTTGTTGTAATGCATGAGCCTTTCCTTTTATCTCTTCGATAATTTCAATAAATGTTTGCATTTCCTTATATGATTCCAAGTGTGTCCTTTCTGAAGCTGGAATGCTTAAGGCTCAAGCCGGCTTGGCATATTCGATATTGCCATGCTGCAGCCTCTACCGTGCTGGAATTTATGTGCGGCTACAACTGAGAGGTGTCTCTTAAGTAGGTGTGTCATGTTGAGATTGCTAGCCTGGAACTCTGTAGACCAGGATGTCCCCTAGGTTACAGCCTGCCTGCCTCTGCGTCCTGAGTGCTATGATTAAAAGTGTGTGCCACCACCCCTGGGACTCCTTTTTGTTTGAAATTACCTTTCAAAGCTGAGGATGCAGCTTAGTCAAGTTTTTGCCCAGCACATATGAGGCCCTGGTTTTGGTCCAACTCATTTTTAAAGCAAATAACTTGCCTAGTATGGCAGTGCAATTCCAGTGGCTGGAATGTCTGGGATCGAGCTAGAACTTTGTAATCAGTTACAGTGTCAAATGACAGGTTCACTGTGTCATTAGTTATCTTCTACAAAGCAATCTTCCCAAGTGGGATGTATAAGTGACAGGGGGTTCAGAGAAATCTCCAGGATGGAAGAGGACCAATGAAGATGCCACTAGTTCCCAGGGAGACGTAGCTCTGTCCCTTTCTGCTCATCTGTATATGCACGCCAAAGCATTATTGATGATTACAGAATCAAACAGATAAACAGTAAAGCATTCCCACAACGTCACTTTCCCAAAGTTTAATGTTTAATCTCACATAATGGAATTAATACGTCTAAAAGTGTCTAAGCAGAGAAATTGTTTTCAGACAGGATCTATGTTAACAGCCCTAGCTGTCTTGGAACTTGCTCTGTAGACTAGGCTGGTCTTGAATTCAGAGATCACCTGCCCCTGCCTCAGTGCTGGGATTAAAGGCGTGTGCTACCACACCTGGCTTGCTGATTCAGAGAACGCAATAGTGTGGCAGCGCAGTCGTGGTACACACCTTTAAGTTGCTCCTACTGGCCTTGAACTCACTATGTAGCCCAGGTCTGGAAGTTCTCGATCCTCCTGCCTCAGCATTTCCTGAAAGACTACAGGCGAGCGCCTGCTGAGGACTCAAGAGACGTTCAAGCGGTCCTAGCGCTTCATCAGGTGCTGGAGGTTGTACATTACCTGCTAGGCGCTCCGGGATGTATTCATATTCATAACTGCTTATCTTTAGGCAAAGGCATCCTATAAAGATAAAATCATATCCACATTTTGGAAAGAACTTATTTCAGAATGTATTGTCTGCTTTTTATTTCGGCCTTCGCTTATTGTAGTCTTAGATCCACACTCCCCAGCTTGTGTCCCTTAATTCACCAGCAAGCGCCCCTTTGGATGACGTCACGACGAGCGCCGGTTACCATAGCAGCACCAGGAGCTATCATGAACAACCGGTTCTTACACACTGGAGTTCCTAAGGAGATGCATTTACTTTTCTGTTTAGCCCCTGTCTTAAGGTTACTATTGTAGCGAAACACCATATGGTGACCAAAAATGCAAATTGTGGGGAAAGGGTTTATTTGGCTTGCACTTCCAAATCACTCACTGTTCATCACTGAAGGAAGTCAGGGCAGGGACCTGGAGGCAGGAGCTGATGCAGAGCCATGGAGAAGAGCTGCTTACCGGGTTGCTTCTCATGGCTTGCTCATCCAGCCCAGGGATGGATGCCCCCCACCCCACACACACACAATGGGCTGCCTCCTCAGTCAATCACTAAATAAGAAAATGCCCTACAGATTTGCCCACAGCCCGATCTTTTATAGACATTTTTTCAGTTAAGGCTCCTCTGGTTCTAGCTTATATCAAGTTGAACTAGCCAGCAACTCCCTGCTCCCAACACTTATATGTAATACTTCGCTTGGCTAGAGATGATCTTTATGAGGTTTATTTAAACCCACCAAATTTTTCAAAAATTGAGCATTTAGTGGCCACAATGTGGCTCTCCTCAACCTTAAGAAGGTCGCTTCCGCCCCCTAGTGGTATTTGTCGGTCCTGACAGTCATCAGTGAAGACTTGCTGAGTTCTGAAGAGGCTGGCAGAGGAGCTACATCTGTTTGATCCCTTAGGTGCAGTGGCTGGGTGCAAATCTTTTGTAGCCTACTTAGGTTTTCCTGCTTCGAAGCCTAGGCAGTTTTTTGTTTGGTTTTTCGAGACATGGTTTCTCTGTATTGTTTTTGAGGCTATCCTGGAACTCTCTCTGTAGACCAGACTGGACTCACAAACTCATAGAGATCCACCTCCTCTGCCTCCCGAGTGCTGGGGTTAAAGGCATGCACCACCAACACCCGGCGGTAGTTTTTTTTAAGACATGGAGAAAATAACACAGATTAAATAATCTATTAGACTTGCAGCACAGACCCTTCTTTTGGACCCAGGACCATCTGATGCCCAAAGCCCTACTCTCGCTTGGACAGCATGCTGAAGATAATGTGCTCCACACATGACCTGAACTCGAGACGGGTCAGGAGGGATAGCGACAAAGCATCCTGGTAGTTCTTTCTCAAGGCAGCTGCCACTTCTAAAGGCTGGGAATCTTGAGGAACTGGAGGTTTAGGAAGTAGTTCTAAGAAAGACTCCGGGGTATTCTACATCTTGTCAAGCTCTGGGATGATGCTGATGGCTTGCTGACCAAACTTGGAGTCTTGAGTGGACTCTAGACCAATGCTTCTTATTCTTTACCAAGAGTATACTTGACAATGTTGGGAGACAGTTTGGGTATCACTATAGGGGTGTAGCATGTGTGCCCTCAACTAAGTACAGTCCATTGATATTATAAACTATTTCACTACTAAGAATTATTTGCCAGATGTTAATTATGTAAAAACTTGGAATCTCTGCCCCAGATTAGGGATCCAGATATGACTGCTATGAGCCCAGCTCTTACTTGAAAGCAGTTTTGGATACAGCGGGCCACTGGTTTCTTCCACCAGTGGAAGAAAACAATACATTTAGAAACCATCCACACATATTTTAGGAGTAAAGAAGGATGAAGAGGCTTGGAGGACATTTGTTTTTTTTTCCTAACATGGGATTCCCCTTATACCTTTATTTTTTCTTTTCTTTTCTTTTTATTTTATTTTCCAGTTTAAATTTAGATAAGAGACAAGGTTACTTCACAAGTCAGTTCCAGGTCCCTCTCCCTTTCCCTCCCCTCCTCCCGTGCCCTCCCCCCAACCCTGGGGGGGGTCCCATTATCCCCTCATTCCCCCAGGGAGGGTGAGGCCCTTGGAGGACATTTGTGATAACAGAATCACAACTAAGAATGCTTTTAGACCCATGAGGAGGTTTTCATGTAAACCTCTGATAAGCTCCAGGAAAAGCCATTCAGAACAAAGTAAGTTCAGCGGACTTGACAAAGCTCTTGTCTTCCAAGAGTGACTTTTCTCTTTGAGTTCAGGGAAATGAAACCTAGTGTCTTATACGTGTTAGATAAACACTCTACCACTGAACTTCCAGAACGTCCTTCCCCAAGGATATCTTATTATATCTCTCATAGTAAAAATAGAGAAGGGACCAATGAATGTTTTCCTTCAAGGGTCAGATACGGTTTTAGGTCATGCAAGTTTTGCAGTCTCTGCTGCAGCTAGTTGACCCTGCCATCATCACACAAGAAATCAGTGAGCATGAGGACAGTCCAACAACATGTAATTTATAAACAGGCGCAGATCACATGGCCTACTGCCTATGTTGTACTCAACCTTCTCGGGTGCCATGATAAATTCCATAATATAGTTCTGCTCCATGATCATAAGGGGTTTTCTTGCTAGTGTGGTGCTGGCATGGATTCACAGTCCCAACAAATTCAGATGTCCATGGACAGAGAGAGAGAGAGAGAGAGAGAGAGAGAGAGAGAGAGAGAGAGAGAGAGAGCAGTCAGCTTGTGCATTTGGGGAAATGTCAGGACCTGAGCACCCTCTTCTGTCACCTAAAATTATCCTGGTTGCTCAAAAATCTCATGTATAATATGAGAATCCAGAAAGGACAGCCATCATTTTACAGTATCTGAGCTGGGAGAGTGCACT